GCTCGTATTCTCTCACACCGAACATTTTTAAACGGTCGTTTGACCAACTTAATCGAACTCCATTTCCTCAATAAAACAGACAATTTTGTATTCAGCTGGAAGGTTTTAAAAAATACATTTATGTTTAATACAATGGGGTATTTTACGAAGAAGAAGTTCAAAGAAAGCTTATTCCCCGCCGATTTCTATGGCACCTAGAAAAACTAAACGTACAGCGTTTCATTTTGGGATATAACAAATAATATATCACAAAACCAAGGAAATTCTTCCAGCCGATATTGAGAAAAACAAAAAAACTCTATTTCTTTTGCGTTTCTGTGCATGCGCGGTCGACCTTGCAACCAAAACATAAATTCAAGTGAACACGCCTTGAGGCAAGGAAAATTTTATTTGAGCATGGTTTAAATGTATCAAACCAACTGAAACTTTGCAGCTTCGTCCTTATAGCAAATAAACAAGTACGTCAATATGAAAAAAATATTTGGGCCATTTTTGAATTGATTAGAAAAAACAATACAACTACACTGTTCGTTGCTGTATAAACTAAAGTTTACTCACAAAATCACCAAAAGAAATTACTTCATACGTGCACAGCATTATCTTATAAGCCAAGCAAGTCTTTTGCTGTAAATGTAAGGCTCAGAAATTATATAGATGATATTTTTATACATGGCCCGCGGAGATACGGATTTTATCTTCGCTTGTTCCATTGATAATGGATGCTAATATTAGTCTTCCAAAATTAAATATTGAAAACATATTCATAGGTTCAGATTGAAATATCCTTCAACATTTTCTATTAGTTTTCTGGAAATATACCCTGTATATATCAAGGGGCAAACGTAGGAAACGGCAGAGTTAAAAAAAATTAAATGCAAAACTGTATGAAAAAATTATATTAAATATAGATATGTGTAAATATATTATCACAAAAAAAGAAATTCAGGCTGAGTTTACATTTAAAAAAAAAAACACTTCGAAAGTAACTGAAAAAAATTAGTGGATGGTCAGCTTAATATATTTTCAAGAATGCTTGAGTTATATTCGATGTATTTTAGAATGTATCATATAATTTCATCTACGTTTTACGGTATCTAATATATATATATGTATAATATCTAAAAGTTTCATTTTTCTCTAAAATCGGTGTATAGAGTGCACGCCACATAAGCATGAAACAATTCTTAAGTAATTAGCACCTAATAAGATTTAGTTATCAACTAACTAAGAATTTAGTGAGGCATAAACAAAGACAAGTTTCCTTTCTGGCATTGTGTTCATGCCCCAGTGAATTCTTAGTTAGTTGATGACTAAATCTTATTAGATGTTGATAGTTAAGAATTGTTTCATGCTTTTTTGGCACTCTAATAAACTGATTACTCATAATGATTATCTTACGTTCTCCGTTAGCCTCCATTCTTGACGATGTATTTACTGTATCACCAAATAGACAGTATCTGGCCATAGTATTACCAACAACACCAGCAACTACTGGACCTACACATATCAAATCAATAATCAGTCTAAACCACCCCTCCCTCACATTATTTCGAGCCAACAAATATCTCTATCTAATTGACTGTTTTATGAACATGACTGTTATGGTTATAGAATATGCGACGTCATGATATATAACCGTCTTACCGCTGTGGATCCCAACTCGTAGCTGTAGCTTGTAATCAGGCCTGTGTCGTACTACAAACGTCTTYGATACCGCATCAACAAGATGTAACGCCATCTTACAAATCTCAGCAGCGTGACGTCTGCCGTTTCGTATTGGTAGACCGCTGACTACCATATATGCATCACCAATCGTCTCCACCTAAAGGCATAGTTGACCACGTGATTAGAGGGATGTGTTTGCATGACAGTTGCTATAGTAAAAATACGTACTTTATATACATCGTATTCTTGGATGATATCATCGAATAGCGTGTAGAGATCATTGAGTAACGTGACAACCTTGAAAGATAGCGACAATTATTATGTTATGCTTGCATGGTCGTAATTATGCAAAACAGGGCATCTTATTAGAGTCGTAAACCCGTGAAACTAAGTGTAATAACCAAATTGCACAAAAGACAAATAATAATAATTAATGAAAATATTACATAATTACCAACTATTCTTAAAATTCCAGTACAGGCAGAAGTAGCCTCGCTTTCTATCCTACAAACTAGACTATTGCCGACTGTACTGGGATTTTAAGAATAGTCAATTGAAACACTTCGAAACATTTCTCATCTGAGGCAAATAAACACTTTCRAGAATCTGAACACTTTTTATCGTATGAGTTTTTTTCAAAATTCAATGAAGTATATCCTTGCTAGCCTGGTGTTTACCTGCATGGGACTACTTTCAGCACTAAGACTAGTAAAACCAACGATGTCACTAAAGTAGATCGTAACCTCGTGAAAACTTTCAGCGTCTACTGATTTACCCTTTTTGAGCTGCTCGGCCACTGGCCTGGGGAGAGAAGAAAGACGTCATCCATTTGGTTGATTGATTGTGAACGATTGGTTGTTCAGTGATTGATATAATGATTGATTGATTGACAGCCTGATTTAATGAACTTTAACAGATAAATAAGGCAAAGCGAATTCTTTTTTTAGAACAACCGAAGAATAATGTCTTAAAAAGTGTTGCGCATCTTATATGAACTGATAACCAGCCTCCATAGCAGGTTGCCTCTCCTCCATCCAGACCCATAATAAGGACTGCGGATAAGAACACTATTTGATTGACATATGTCATTACCTTGGCAGTATACTTTCTAATAAAGCGTCTGTTTTCCTCTTTTCATCCATAAGTTGTACAGTTTTTTCAGCTACTAATTCTTCTAAATTATCAGCATATTTTTCCATCATTTGTACCATATTATCAAAAATATTTCTTTTCCTGAAAATGATAGAAATTCAAATCAAGAAAAACCGGTACAATCATAAAACAAAAGCACCTTCACGGGCTGTCAGTAGATCTTTAATAGGAATGACATTATTTCATTTGGAGGAAACTGAAACATTCATAATGAAAAAGTGAGGGGGGAGGGTTGACATGTGAATCAGTATACCAATTTATATCATTGCTTCCAATAAAAACGTTAATAGTTGAGTTTCGCGATCTCCTTTGCATTGTCTTAGCTTCAATTG